GTTCCAGTATGGCTCGTGAATATTTTCAGGCCAAATAGCAAAAAAAAAAATGAATTTAAGACTCGGCCTTCTCCGATTAACATGAAACTTTTCATATTTTTTTTTTGGTATGTTCAATCATTCACATTTCAATCAAAATTTGGCCATTTTAAATCTCGCAAAAATGTTCAAAATGGCATATTTAATATTGTCAATTCAGTAAAATTTTAGCATTTGGTTTCAGATTTGACAACCAAAATTGACAATCGTCAATGTATGTATGTATGTATGTAAAGGATACCACTCATTGTTGCAAGGCACAGCCAGTGGATCATCCTCCAAGTATGACTTGATCAAGTACGATACCTGGTTGTATTCAATTTACCATTGTAAGAAGGGCCAAAAACGGAGAGGCGGACCCGTAAGCAGATACACTTACGCGCAATCCGCGGGATCAGGAGAATCGCCTTCCAATGATAGAATCCTACAACCCGATGTAGAACAAGCCATCATACGAGGGAACGTCCCAATGAGTGGGGAGAAGAGCCCGCCGTCAATTCACGAAATGTTAATGACAGGGAGTTGGCAATTCCACTCTCCCCATCCAAATCGCTTCAATCCGGTGCCCTGGTGGTCCCATCCCTCCCCTTTGCATTTAATGTGTGTATATATATATATATATATATATATTAATATCGGCATTACCCGTTAGATTTTGTCAACACAATTTTGTCTCTTAGCTTTTCAAAATCTTTAATAAATGCAAATCTTATCATCTGACCTATTCCGCGAGTCGTTCGAATCTCCACCACCAATGAGTCAACAAAAGTCGCGCACTAGTGGGGTGACTCAACTAGTGACAGAGAGCCATACTACTCGCAGAACAGGCCTGTAGGTGACGTTTAAAGCTCCACAATTTTACTGAAAATCTAAGAAAATTATTAAACAGAATTTAATAACATAACTGCAGAGCACAAGCAGTTTAAATATACTGAAAACGTGTTGCCAAAATCGAACGGATACTTTATATGTTTATTAATTTATCTTACCTTGATGGACCAACTACTTACCTGTCCTTAATGGCCATAAGCTCCAATCGGTATTTCCCGGTAAATCCTATCACGATCTTTTACAACATTTGGCCGACACCAACGCGCATCATCGCAACCACTCAGTACTTTCTTCCTCTTCACTAAATTGAAGGGCTTCTAGGGAAATTATTTTCTTGCGGACCGCGTTGCGGTCGGACTTCACTGTTCTTGATCTACTCGCTACTGCTGCTACCTAAAAACTACTTTATTCAATCAATAATTCCTACAGAGAACCTAGCACTCGCGAAAAGTGTCCACTATGCAAGTCCGGAGTCCAATCGATCGCCCGATTGCGGAATGCTGATGCGAAATTGACAATCGTCAATGAACCAAAACTATTCGCAGAAGGCTATGTCCTCATAACAACGCGAAAAGCATCACAAAACATCCATAAACCAATTGAAAGTTCGGATTAAAAATCGAAGATAAATGAAGTTTATGTGCGGATTTATAGCGTTACATCCCCGATTTGCACCATTTAAATAGAAGAAAATAAGGATTTAAAATATTTTAAGTACAAAGTTATGCAGCCGATAATCGAGCTGACAATTCATCCACCTTTCAACCCAATCATGCCTAAAAATATACCGAAAATTCATCCTGCATGCTAGCCTGCAATCTAGTTAAATTAGGCAAGTTTTTATAGCGATCCAGCTATAATCAACACGTTCGAAGCCGTCAACTAAGCCATCTACACACTTAGAAATACCTAATCTTACACGTGTCGGAATCCATTTTTAACATAAAGGATGAGACGTAAACAAACATGTCATGTAAAATTAAGTGCTCGGAGACTGAAAAGTTCGAAAGTACATTTGATTGAGACGAATTTCGCGTCTATTATGATTCAATTTTATGTCAAAATTGAAGCTCGTATATGTCAGTCTCAGAGCACCTGTGTCAAATATGCCCGAACCTGTGCCAGAACGTGTCTCAGAAGAATTTATTTAGACTAGATCTGAATTTTTTTTATAAGTTCGGATTCTACAATTAATTTCATAATGTGTTTTTGTGTCAGTGTTTGGAATTTATGACAGTTGCGGTTGTGTCTTCTTCTTGTTTCTGAAAAATCAATGAATGCTATGTTGTGAACTGGAAATATTTTAGAACAAATCACAACATAAAAACTTCATTTCCAATCGAACTGACGTCTGAGAAAAAATTGTAAAGTCTGTTCCATTTGGTTGCTTCTTTATAATTACTGTAGCGTCTCTAGTTGCCGGAGCAAAAAACTGTAGGAGGTGTTTTGATCTGGAAGGATTGTTAATTCAATGGTGAAAATTTCATCAGGATTCATACACGTTTAAAAGTTATCGAAGATAGAACGAGGGAGACGTGAAACAATTAGGCACAATCACGTTGAAAACCCAACGTGGTTCTCATATTTCCTAAATCGACTGTAAATACCGTTCTTAAACGTTACCGGGTAACATTAAAGCGCAAATCAAAACAATCGTAAAAGTGGATCATATGACCGGAAATTACGAGCGAAGATCATTAGGGCAGTCCAGCAGTGAGATCTCCGGACGTGATTTGGCGAAATGGTACACAGTACAGTTCGTCGAATCTGTATGCGAGAAGGTTTTTGATCGTACCAGCCAACATTCCAACAGGACGCTGAAACAAAACCTGGTTGCCAAAAACCGTGCAAGGGAACCCAAATTTGTTGGGTGTTTGAATTCAAAGCGAAAGATGTGTTTCACTTTAAATGTATTCACAGCAAAAAAATAATTTTGATATCCCATCAAAGTGGATGCACTACAATCATGTCGAAAATTTCATGTAATTTTTATGATCACATAAATAAACAAATGCAGTAAAAGCAGCGTAATGTCAGTTCATGCATTGTATTAATGTTAATTTTGTCCTTTTTAGCAAGTAATATTACACCATATTTTCGACATGATTGTAGTGCATCCACTTTGACGTGATATCAAAATTATTTTTTTGCTGTGTTGTGTTTCTCTCTGTGACTTCCAACTATATTTTATTATTCACGCAAATAGCTGTGACAGCGTACAAATATATTGAGAGCATCGATAAAGTATTGTAATAAAATTCAAAGTAAGCAACGTTACGCCAATTAAGGATTTTTAATACCTCAACAATTCAGCTTGAATCCAAATGCAAAGTGGAGAAATCGTCGACATTATATTGTAGGTACCTATTGTACCGCCTTCTGGCGTAAGAATGTCTCTACAATTGTGGAGGTAACTACCACATCCTGCTTTCTGCCAACTTCAATACATTACGAGTATGTATATCCATACACAAGGATCAGTAATCACACAAATCGTATAATCGAAACGTTGATGCCAGAAGCTAGAAGCAAATAGGTACGGAAATATCAACCATGGCATACCTGCTTCCTGGGGCATGCAGGAACACAAGAAAGGCTGCCCTCGATGGAGGCGGCACATCAGGAGTACAGTCCCAAATCGGAAGAAGTTTTCCAGGGGATGAAAACGGGTGGAAGACAAACGAGCAGATTTACAGCCCTACAATTAAGGTTAATGAGGTGAGTTTTGCCTCCGTTTGTCGTCGTCGTCAGCGCCGTTGTTGCTTTAGTTTGCCTGCGGAAGTTTTAGTACAATGTGTGAGACTTTGTCTAAAACATTGGGCCTGCCATGTGTATGTTTCCGAGAAGATTACACTCGTACATTGATAAAAATATGTCTGAATTAATGCAAGCAAGCAGTCTTGGTCTGGAAGAGGCCGACAATGTTAATGAGGAAGCGAGAAAATAACAATTCTCATTATTTTTCCTTTTATTGGTGTAGCTGAATCGTTGTCAAATTGTTTCCAGCAAGGTAACAATCAGAGTGTTACAATTGAAATGAAAAATTTGATTAAAAATAACGTTGGAGAGATGGTTGAGCAAACTAGTGAACGTATCGTGGAATTTTCAATATTGAATATTACTTTTCTTTCTACCAAATAAATGATCCCCATATTTGTAATAGAGCGGTGCCGGTGGTGTAGTGGTAAGCGTGATAACCTCTCACCCCAGCAGGCCTGGGTTCAATCCGAGTCGGCGCCGCCGGGAGTTCTGAGGCATAACATCTCTGATCACGTCTACCTTCGGAAGGGAAGTAAAGCCGTTGGTCCCCGGTTCACGAGTTGATGGGTCGATAGGTAGGGTCCAGGTGTGGGGCTGCTTCCCTGGCGTCGGTAGCATTGGTGCTCAGCACGGAAAACAAGATCGACGGAAAACAAACCAAGGAAAAAAAAATATTTGTAATAAGCAGGTGGCAATCTCTAACATGAATATAACGAAAATAGAGGCAGTATTATCCGCTCGTCTCGAGTAAGTCTGGATGGAGCTGAACAACCGATGAGTGTGTTCATCAAAAGTTACGAGATGATATCGACAAATCGATAAAATTTAACGTCCTCCTAGCTATCCAATCTGTTCTGGCATGAATGTGTATAGTCTGAGGGTGGAAAACTTTTGCTGAGAGTTCTTAATATTCTTCGGAAATGGTTTCGATTTCTTCCTATAACAAAGCTATTGCCACCTGGTCCAACAATTGATGCTTATGGAAAGTATCATTTGAATGGGATCAACTAGAACAAAATAGATGTAGACTTAAGTTATGACGGTATTTTTGTTATTGAAAATGTTACTTGTTTTGTATGCCATATAACATCAGGATGACTTTTGATTCACTACATAATGCATAACAACATAGAGCCTTTAAAAAAATCGGATTATTATTTGAGGAAAATAATTTCCCAGCAATTAATTACTAGATTTGCGTCTATTTGACGGAATTATTTAATTCGAAATCACCTATATCCGAATCCATAAATCACGTCCCCACCCGAAACCAATTCATCATATTTCCCTGCTTCAACGATTGCTCGACCGTCACAAATTCCACCCGTCTAATATCCGGTGTTATCTGTCTGTTTCATTTCCATTCACAGTGATCGATTGCGTTGTCAGCGAGTGGGGCCCGTGGAACGAATGCGACACACCCTGCGGTCCCGGAACCACGTCCCGCAACAGAACAGTCCGACAAAAACCACGAAACGGTGGCAAACACTGTCCATCCTTGTTGCAGAACCGGGGCTGTCTGGGAACGGACTGCCATGCAACGAGCAACCGACCGGCATTGCTTCAGGGTGAGTTGATTTTTTCATGCAAATTCAAAAATTCAACACCAACGACGGAACGACGACGACGGAGCTTTCTCTCTTTGGTTGGTAGCCGGGGCGGTAGCATATTAACGATAACACAAAGATAGAGATAAAGAATGAAATTTTTCTAGCGCAAGGACACGAATACCCGAGCAGGAGAAAATAACTTATAAATACCTAATTCTGTTACTGATACCAAAATTTGGTGTTGATGTCAGCCTGATGAAGATGTAAAATACCAAAGAATAATCCCATAAATTTGCATGCAACATAATTTGTAAATAACATATATGTTGATACCATTGGTATTGTTTTCGTATTGCATTCCCATACTTTGGCATTGGAATGGTATTGTGGGAAATTTGTTGTTGTATTTTACCGCAACTGCCATACATTTCAGGCTAATCCATACCAATTTAAAGTAAGTATCGAGATATTCGTTCCTGCTCGGGTAGAATCAAACTCGCACCCCGCTTATTGGTCGTCCGCATTGTTTGAGTATGTATTTCGAGAGTGATGTGCTGCAACACAGCAGAGAGAAGTTTACTTTACACATTAACATAAATTTATTTCATTGAGTGTCCAGAGACATTAGTTCATATTTTGTGGTATAATACTCTATTAAAATCCACCTAACTCTATTATAATCTACAGTCTCTCTCTCTCTCTCTCAGTTTTCAAGGTCTCGTTTAAGAGCTTGTTGGTTTACATTTTAAAAGATATGATTACGACACAAGCCTCACATAATGCAAATGATTAAAATTTTAGGGATGATCTCTAAGTTCCGAACATATCGAATTTATATGTAGGGGATAGGAGGTTTTAAAACAAATGTGTATAGTTTTTGTATTTTTATGCTGCATGGCGGTATTTTCATGCTCTCTAAAAATGATATCTTATTCTTACGAATTATTATTCCGTATAGAGTCAAAATATTGTTTTAGTTTATGCCAAGATATTGTGAAGTCAATAGTTTCGCAGTATTGATTGTAAGAGGCAATCATGTGATTTAATTGCCCATATTTTGCATAATTTGTGCAATGATGGTTTATGGCAAATAAATTTCGATTTTGGAGTTGCCGAGTACACAGCAAAAATTAATTTAAATATTACATCCAAGAGGATACACTTCAACCATGATGAAAATCACATGTAATTAAAATGGCTGCTGTGTATGTGCATTGAAATTTTATTTTGATAAAAGTTCTGTTGAGTCCATGGGTTGGCTCGTTTGATCGCTTGTTCATAATCTGAACGACGTTTTGTTTGTTTTTAAATTACTAAACAATATTTTATAATTATAAGACTGTTTTTAAAGGATATGAATGATTTTTGTACGTTTTCCTAAACACCTTACCGTTCTCATTATTACAATCGTTGAGTTGTGATTTTCAAACTTATATTTTTTAGTTATATTGTGTTGAAGTGTTCGACTGTGAGGTTTTACAATAAACAGCTTCGGCTTGGCAGTCTGGCAATCACTCAATCAAAACAAATTAATTTTGTAATTTGTCCCTACGTTTCGGTTCTGATTAGGGCCTTCTTCATTAGTGTTAACTAATTCAAACTTTTCCAAAGACTATATTGTTCCTTTAACTGTATACCTGAATGATGTTGTACAATTTCAATTTCAAGGTAGCGGCGCCAGTGGTATAGTGGTAAGCGTGATTGCCTCTCACCCCAAAGGGCCTGGGTTCAATCCCAGTCGGCTCCGACGGGATTTTCTGAGACAAAATCTCTGATCACTTCTTTCGGAAGAGAAGTAAAGCCGTTGGTCCTCGGTCTATGAGTTGATGGGTCGATATGAAGGGTTCAGGTCTGGAAGCTACCTCCCTGGCGTTGATAGCATTGGTACTCAGTACGGAAAACAAATCAAGGAAAAAATCATGAAATTGAGTTAAAAATTGAATCCTTTTGTTTAGTCTGCTCATAAAACTTTTAGCATGCTTATTAAGCCGATTTCTGCAATCTATATTTCCCCTTGGAAGTATCATATAATTTTATCGGAGTTATTTTCTGAAGAAATCATGGACTTTATTTTACAATTTTGCTAGAATTTATTTCCACACCTTTCTTTGGAGTCTTCTTTCTTAAATGTCCAAAAGAATTCCTCGGAGCCGAGATCCATTAAATACTTTTATAATTACCATAACACATTAATGAGGGACATTTTTTGTGAGTTCTCTTTACTCTTCATTTGAAGTGACTTTTGTTTAGCTTCCGCTTTCATCTGTGCTTCCAATGCCTTTGCTTTTTCTAATTGTTTTTCGGTATAGTACACTATTCCGAATTTGCAGTAGTAATACGCATGTACTTGTATACAGGTGGCTACTATTTCTCAGCAGCACTTGTTTCCTCTCCCCTGTTCTTCTCAGCGTCTGGCGACGTCACATCCATCACTACCACCTTTTCTTCCAGGACCTCAACCGCTTTCTCGTTTGGCGATGCACCTCCAGTAGAGTGATGCAAAATTTGAAATTTTCGCTCCACAATACTTAAACGATTCCAAATCGGATCCTGACTAACCTCTCAAAATTTGAACCCATTTGGTGAGAAACTGAGATGGCACAAACCATTTGAAGTTTGTATGGGAATTACTATGGTAAAACCAAGATTTTTGTTCATGTCTATCTAATAATTCACCATATCGGTCTGCTTCAAAAGCTTTCAACTGTACTTGTAGGAAATTTTCTGAGTTGCAACTTTGCTCAAGACCACTTTTTGATTAAATGCAAGGATCGAAAGTTATCAATGGTTCAATGCGCTGATGTCTTATGATCATACTCAATCAACTGCTCAGCAGGCAACATTAGTGTTTCTGGGGCGTTGAATAGGACACAAAAATCATGGCTACTATGCCACACTGCAATATACAGTGTTGCCTGGTAGGGCCTCCAATTCTAACTTATGCGCCAGACGACGAGAGTCGTCTGTCAGAACTCAGATCGGTTTGCCCTGCTAGCTGTTTTTCCAACCCTACTACAGAATCCACCTCCAATGATAGGCTAAACATTCAACTAACTTCCCAATATCCTTTTCCATATATCTTCCCAAAATTCAGTTTTATTAGCGTAATAAGTTCAATTTTTATTCACTAATTTGTAACTATTAACATAGTGTTTATTGAAACAACAAAACAATAAAGTTTTTTTTGTAATCCCATTCATGCAATATGTTTATCTCCAAAGTCTATGTTTTTAATTTTGATCTCTGTAATCTAACTATTAAAACGTTTCCCTCACCTTACCTTCTCCTCACTGTGACGTCATTCCATTTATCTGGTCCAGTCAGTTTGGTCAGTGACGTTTGACCAAAACCAAAAATAAATTGTCGCGGTACAAAAATCATCATTTCCATACATCCTTCGTCATTGACGAAGAGAGGCCGACAATAATCCTATCGCATCTTTTACCTTCATTGGTCTTTTTTTCATCACTGACTTTGCTTTCTCTACGTTGATGCAAGGCAGCCCTGGCTGGGAACCTCAATACGAATCAAAAGAGCTGTGGGAGCAGGGGGTTGTAAAGTTTACCCACCCTAATGTGCAGTCGTCATCACTATCAATACCATGATTTCATGATTTGATAGTCAGTACTCAAAAGGTGATAAAAATATTGATGACGAAAATATGTATGAAAATATTAACGCAGAATTTTTTTCATGTTTCAATATTTTCCCACATTTTCTCGACTTTTTGACTACAGCAGTAAATGGGGCCATATTCCTCAGTAAGAAAGTTGAGATTTGATTCGGAATATTTCATCTGATTCTGCAAATCGAGTGAGGAGCGACCCTATATTGATGGAAATATTAACGAATCTTCTGCCGTGTGAAGTGCACTAATGAATGGTATTTGTAAATTTACAAGGCACATGTTTTCGATGCTGACGGACATTAGTCAGTTTTATCATTTTTATAACGGTGCTCCGTGAATGATTTTTATCTCAAAACTGCTCCGAAACGCAGAACTCCTGGAAGCCCATAGCATAAGAAGTTGATTTAAAATTAGGTAATTAATTAACAAGTCAATCAATCTAAATCATTTTGTGGTGCCCAAATTTCAATTTTCAGCATCAGGTTCGGGTCACTAATAGAAGCTTCCACATCATTTTAGAAAAATATCAGCTTCTCAAAAAATCATCAGTCATGCATAGGATAGAAGAAGTCAATCAAATACATCCATTCGTTGCTGATGCTAAACTCACTTTCTTCTTTTTGAGCGATGTATTGAAATTTGAAATTAAGATGGAAGCTATATAATATTGATAAGTAAGTAGGCTCCTAATGCAAAAAATATTCCTTCACTCCTCCGACCGAGTCTTCATTCAAGCGGCGTGGAAGCACGGCAACAACGTTTCATTCATACCAGTCTCGAATAACACACTTCCGAACTTTGAAGGGCAATCAGTAATAATCAATCAAAAGATGAATGAGATTTTATTTTGTGTAGATTGGATATAAGAAGAAACACGGCATCGAACGAAGCTCTGGTCATGTATGAATCACGCGTCATTGATGAACTCCTGCTCCTTTTCAACACACGTCTTCATCAAACGAAGGCTGATGGTGTAAATTTTTAAACTGTTGGCACTCCTCGACTCTTTTGAATATGGAATCAAGTTCGCGTGTTTGAGATTTCAGCCTTTAAAATGACTGATCTGTTCGCATGATGATAAGTAAATTTAAATGAAACAACCATACTCGCTACGATAATGAATGGCCTGAGAAATTGAGAAAAGTCGTAAATGTAGTGCCATTGATTATGCAGTTATAGCGACTTACTAAAGCCCTATTACGAAACAAGTTCCACTCAATTGGATATGTGTGTAATTTCTACATGCGACATAACTTTTCCTCTTTGTTGATGTAATGAACGAGGTTGGCTTTCTGAACGTGGTTGCTATAAAAAGGGTAAAATTCGCAACACATAAGCCACAACTACAGCAAAAAAAAAAGAGCAAACGTGTAGAATGTCAGTAGGATATAGAAGTGCAGTAGCAGCACCAGTAAGCATTTAATGGTCAAAGTTAGGGTAATTTATTATGCAGTTTCTAGCAAATGGTCAGCTTTACAAAACCAATTATTCACCATTGCCTGTTGGGACATGTTGTTCTCTGGTGTTTATTTGTTCTGTGGGTTCTGACTTGGACTCTGGATAAAGCTTCAATTAACTGGTGGTTGCATTTATTCAACATAATTCTCTTCCGTAGTTGATGTAAGCTTGGATTCTAGAATAACGGATAACGGTCATTAGAATTTTTACCGACTATTTCAGCAATTCAAAAACACAGTAAACAATGCTGACTCCTGTGACATATTCTAAGTGCGTGTGCCAAATGCCACTCCAGTACAGCAAGCCTCATAAAAAACATTGACCCACGCCTGGAGAGATATGGTTCCGGACTATATTATCAGAACCTGTCGAGCATCCGGAAGCGTGTTGAGGCCTAATTGCGGCAAATGGAAATTTTATCGTGATTAACATAGGTTTAAGTTCTTCCTTTTGAATACATGATTTTTTTCCACTTCGAAATGTTTCAGATTTTGTTTGTTTTTACAGTGTATAATGGTGAAAACATTATCACGCATACGGTAGGTTTAGAAGGTTATAGGTGTGTAGGTTGGTCAAAGTTTAGAGGTTGCATAAAAGGTTTGAAGTTTATAAGGAGATTTTAGCGAGTTACTCAGGGCAATTATCAACGTACTTGATAACAATTCCTTTGAGTAAATATCAGTTTGCATATCAAGCTGGTAAATCAACAGTAACAGCTCTTCATAAGTTTGTTACAAAATCAATTTGAATCAAAAGAAATGTCACTAGCAGCGTTCATTGATATTGAAGCAGCAGATAATATTGCATCTTATAACTCCATGAAAAACAATATGTTGAAGCGTGGATTCGACAAAAGCATCGTTAGGTGGATTAATGAGATGCTTTCTAAAAGAGACATCTCAGCAAATCTTGGAAGCTCATCCATAACAGTTAGAGCTGTAAAAGGGTGTCCTCAAGGAAGTGTTCTTTCACCTCTTTTATGGTCTTTAATAGTTGACGAACTTCTCAAAAACTTAGAGATAATTGACTTGCACATGACATAGTCATAATAGTACGAGGACAACTTGATAATGTCATTTCAAATAGAATGCAAACTGCTTTAAATTATGTCCTGTCGTGGTGCACTAATGAAAGGTTGAATATAAATCCTTCTAAGACCGCTATTGTACCGTTCACACGGAAAAGAAAATTTTCTATAAATAACATAAAATTGAAAGAAACTTCTTTAGAACTTAACTTTTGGTAGGAAATGGGGCCTAAAACCAAAAATGATCCACTGGATTTATTTGACGATTGTAAGACCCAGAATATCCTACCATAATTGGTTTGGTGGCCAAAAACTACGCTCAGAAGAAGCTGGGGAGACTGCAAAGACTTGTTACTCTCCCAATAACTGGTGCCATGAACAGCACACCGAGTATGGCACTAGATGCTCTACTTTATCTGCTTCCGTTGCATCAATTTATCCAATTAGAAGCTTAAAGGAGTGCTTTAAGGGTTCAACGAGCAAAGTACTTCCTTGAAGGTGATCTTACAGGACACTTAATATTTTAAAAATGTTTAATATTGATTCTCTTGTATTAAAAAATGAAGACTGGATGGAGAAAAAAAAATATAATTTCGCTTAAACAATGCAGCAGAATTTGATCGTAATGTTTGGGAAAACGGGGTACCAAACATCAGACCAGGTTCAACTGTTTTTTTATACAGACGGTTCAAGATTGAACAATGGGAGCAGGGGTAACTGGTTCAGGGATAGATATCTCAATATCTATGGGTTACTGGCCAACCGTGTTCCAAGCAGAAATTCAAGCAATTCTGGAATGCTCTGTAATATGCTTGCGCAGAAATTATAAACATTCGAATATCTGCATTATGTCTGATAGTCAAGCAGCATTAAATGCTTTAAAATCAGCAACATGCAATTCAAAACTCGTATGGAAATGTGCAATGTCACTTCATAAATTGGCCTGTCAAAACCAAGTTAACCTATATTGGGTTCCTGGCCACTGTGGAATTGAAGGGAATGAAAAAGCCGACACGTTAGCCAAGCAAGGATCATCTCAGCAATTCGTAGGACCAGAACCATTCTGTGGAGTTTCTGCTTGTTCTCTTAAAATGGAGATCAAGAAATGGAAACAAAAGAGAGTGGAGACCAATTGGAACAACACTTCCATTGCTAGGCAGTCGAAACGGTTCATATTTCCGAACATTTCAATGACTAGCAAAATTCTTGTATTATCAAAGAAAGATCTCAGTGTCTATACTGGTTTGATAACAGGACATTGTCCATATAAATATCATTTGAAGTTCAAGAAGTGTGTCGATTCTGTGGCATAGAAAAGGAAGACTCTGAATACCTGCTATGCTCTTGTGCAGCAATCTTCAATAAAAGGCGTATTTTTCTGGATAAGGGGCTGACAGAACTCTTTGATATTAGGATATTTGATATTACTGATAAAGCAATATAAAAACGGGGAATATCACAATAGGTCAAAGTAATGGTCGCAGTGATGAATATACCCAACACGGAATAAAGGGCAATTACTTAATTTCACTTATATCGTTCTAACTTTGGTTTTAGTTGCCAACACATTGAAGAAAAATAAATGGACAAGACATTTGGATCCTAAATTGCAATCAAATATGAATGTTAAGATGGGAGCATATGGCGAAATATAAACAAGCTCCCCACCTAAATTTAGGATCCAGGTCTGAAGGGATGTTTATGAAACAAAGTGTCAATCAACAGAAAACTTTGTAGCACTTCCACAGTTATTAATTGAGAGCTATCGATGTCGTTACAAATGTATGGACTTGTATACAGTAATGACCCGATTTTGCAGCCCCCCTTTTAAAAAACGTTTTCTAATGTTCAACGAAACCCATGCGCTTTTCCAGTGATCTTATTGCATCAAAGCATATCTTAAACATCCATTTTGAAGATTAATGAGAAGGATTTGGGATTACAGTTTTATGAAATTATTGAAAAATGGAAGTCTGATGCATGGAGAGGCTGACAAAATCGGGTCATTACTGTATCGTGTTTCCAACCCGAAACATTTCTAAAGCACACCGAGAATCAAATTAGCTGCCTCCTTTTTTTCTTTGATTTGTTTTCCGTCGATCTTGTTTTCCATGCTGAGCACCAATGCTACCAACGCCAGGGAGGCAGCTTCCACACCCTATCGACCCATCAACTCATGAACCGGGGACCAACGGCGATGTTATGCCTCAGAACATCAGAGATGTTATGCCTCAGGACGGCACCGACTGGGATTGAACCCAGGGTTGCTGGGGGGAGAGGTAATCACGCTTACCACTACACCACCGGTGCCGCTTAAATTAGCCGCCTTCAGTTTGGTTATACCGTGCCTTAACCGAAAAGGCTATCTGAGGCTCCGTTAACGTCATTAAACGCCTTGATTTTGACAGACGCCATCACTTGTTGCCTTGTTGCCCTTCTAGCAGTCGAACATTTTATTAAAAGCACTATCGCGACTGCTGCTTGATTTCTGGAGTCTTTTTTTCATGGAAGTGTTTAGAAAAATGTTAACAAGTGAACCTCTCTGCCATGAATGTGGGATAAACAATTCCTAAAAAGTACGTTAATTTGATTTCGTGGTGACAACACTAGCCCTTATTACTGTAGGTTCAACTGCACAAATTATCATGGTAATTCATAGCATTCATGGCTCAGAATAGGTCTTATTATCAAAATATACATAGCTCGCTTTTCGAAACGTTACATCGCAGGAGTGAACATTAATGAAGCTCGAGAATGTTGATTAAATAGTCCTTAGATATCACTGAAATAGCCCTGAAAATGTGAAATAGTTTGGGTTCCATCGGGTTAAAAACCAGTACTAACGACAGCAGTATTGTATATTTAATGGTAATAGTGCTACTGTAAGTACATAGTAAGTAGGGCTTAGATCTAGTTCTGCTAAGCACAACTACTTTATTTTTCGAGCGAATTTTTTCACAAAATAAAATGTTTTTACTGCAGATGCCTTCTAAATTTTTTCATCATTCCATACTTACCGTACGATTTGAAAAAGAGTGACATATTGTCGCGCCTACGGATTCTAAGCTCGGTGCCATTGAATTCACTTCTTTTGTTTTTGAGAATAATGGGTGCAAAAATTCACATCAAGCGTTCTTGTTGACTTCGTTCGGTAGCTGTTGAACTAATGTCTCATACCAAAGGCATAATTGACATGTTAACGCCGAAATCATGGATTTATTTGACGTTTTCTGCTCGATAGGCCCAAAATCGATCTTCGAGCTTGCTTGCAATTCAAAACTCGTTGCTTCTCAGGGAAGTATGGTAAAATTTCAGATGACGAAGAACAAGCAGAACAAGTACTCTGTCTTTGATTGAATCTTAAATATTGAGTCTTGATGCGACCAGTGTAGAATAATATAAAAGCTCCGTGTCAATGTACACAAACTCGAAAAGTTTTCATGAAAATCATCATCACTCAAGCAAAAAGTGCAAGACAAACATCACGTCGACAAGTCATGAGAAAACCTCATTTAGCAAACCGTAATTTCACTTCGTCTCTGTTTGAAGACAAATACTAATATCATATCCTTTATATTTCTCCTTCAGAAACGGCCCTGCTGCTACCGGTGGCGACCTTATCGTCTAGAAGACACGAAAACTACACAACCAGTAGTGGCGGCGATGTCATCCAACGGTTGCAGATTCGGAAAAACACCTTCCACGCACATAAACCTACAGATGGGTGAGTATCAAAACGTCCGATGAAAACGGCGGCGATGACAAGGATGATCATGATGATCCGGACACGTATTCGATATACACGCAGGGGATGGGGATTTTGATAGAAATCTGAAAAGGATATCAAGAGTGAAAAGCTAGGAAAGATTTTCAATTACATTCTATATTTCAACACAGCTTCACTCCTTATTAACTTCCCGACAATTTCAAATTTAAGAGGGAATATGATAATGTTATGCTTCATGAAATGAAAATATTCCACACACAAATCATACTTCGTCTGTAGAGAGGGTTCGGAGTTTATAGATATCCATTACAAATAGAATCTGATTGATTCCATCCGTCTGTAACATTTCTGTTATCTCTTTCCCTCGTGAACGTGATGTGAATTTCGTATGAACATATGTCGCCATCCAGACCCTTTTTGGAGCATGGAATTTTTATGTTCACCTGACTAAACAAATGGAAAGGATTTTCCTTATGAGATACAGATCCCTTGGGCTAATTCATACATGCATTTGTTTGTATCAGTACGATGTTGCATCTTCAATTTGGTTTTGTAGATCAAAAGAATACTAAAATATCTCCAAGCAAGCCATAGCATGAAATGATCTTTAAAATTACGAATTTCATCCCAAAGCGTCTATGGAGTTGGTTGCACCTTCTCAAATTCAGCTGTGTCGGAGCAAAGACTTTGCTTACTCAAGTAACATTGCATACATGTTTTCCTTGCTTCAAATCTAGACTGTCATTTGTAAAAGGCTCAACATTTTTTTCTCTTATTTTACAAAATAATAATATGGACTAATGCTACGTCTTCTGTGGAATATAGGATTTTTCAAAATGTCCATTAAAAATATCAAGGAAATAAAAAATTTATTCCGACACTTATTCATTTAAATAAAAAAAATCTCATACATATAATTTGTGAAAATTGAAAAAAATGTACATTTGCAATAAAATGCTCATCTGACAAGGAAAGAGCCATCTTTAGCTCAGTCGGTAAAGGCGAAGCTTCAAAACAAGACATTGCTGGAGGTGGCTGGGTTCGATTCCCGGTCCGGTCTAGGAATTTTTTCGGGTTGGAAAATGTCTTGACTTATGGGGCGACCTCGGCGTATTGGTTATCATCCATACCTCTCACGCCAAAGTCACGAGTTCAAATCTCACCCCCAGACAAGTCACGAATGACCCAAGTGCGTTAAAGTGACTATAATAATAAAAAAAAAAAATGTCTTGACTTCCCTGGGCATAGATTATGATTGTACTAATGCAAAAATGGTAGCAGGCATCGAAAGCTCTCAATTGATAACTGTGGAAGTACATCTAGGACACGTTGAGAGCACGCAATAAGCTAATATGCGATAAGCAATAAGCTTGAAAGAAAAATAAAAAGAAGAATCTGACAATGTATGGACGGTTTGAATATAAATTAGTTGTCTTTCAAAAAAAAAAACACTATTAAAAAAGTTATAAAAACGGGTTGTTAGTGGAATTTAATTCCACTAAATTATTTTTTTGTATCCATACACATACTTATTTCGACTACAATGTATAGTCTTCATCAGTGTCATTCCCACTGCAGATTTGACCAAAACTAAACTTGATCAATGGAAATCAATGAATTTTCGGTCTTGGAAATGTTTTTTATATCTAGTTCGTTTATTTGGAAGGCTCCATCGCGTTAGCTTTACAGAGACTATAATTCATTAATCTTTGTAACAAAACTCACTTAATTCTATGTCTAGCAGGAGATGGGCCGAATACTCGCGGCTTACCCGAGGTTAGAGGGGTACATTGTCGCAGGATAGGTTAAGGAGAGGAGCATGGCATGGGGGTAGGGTTTTGATGGCTCATCAGAGCGATGTCGCCAGTATGAACGGTAGTGTGATTCTAGATTCGTCTTGAGTTCGATCGGCTATGGTGACCAGTGGGTGACGATGAGACTCAAGACAAGACAATCAAATACTAATAAAGAGATACAAAAGACAAACGAATTAAATTCTTATACTAGACATTTGCAGAAACACATAAATCGACCGCTTATAGCAGAGATCGCGGGTAACCAACACGTCCATGATAGGGATATAGGGTTGTCTTCCTTGAGCCTCGAGGGTATTCAAAAGTCGCTCTCTGGCGGCGTCATTATGCGACAATTGACAAATTGCGTGATCGATGTCATCATTACCGTTTTCACACCGATAAATGTTTCTGTCCAAACATTAAGAATAATTAAATGTAACCACCGTCCAAGATTTTCAGCGTCCCAATCGGTTTGCCAACTCGAATGGGTACTCTGACCTAGACTCTGACGCACTAAATGGTAACATTCATCGTGTGAAATTTATCTGTCATAAAATTCGCCTTTCGTGGCCCACCTTTGCGAAAGAGTCATACAAAAGTAATCATTAGACTGATGCAAATTTTGACATTTTCGCTCCACAGTGCTCATACGGTTCCAAATCGGGTCTTGATTAGTCTCCCAAAATTTGAAATCATTTGCAAAGAAACTGACTTGGCACAAACCATTTGAAGTTTATATGGAAGTTACTATGGGAAATCAAAACTTTTTGTTCATTGTCTTCTTACCTTTTTCCATATTGCACTGTTCAAAAATTCAAAAACTTTACTTATGGAAAATTTTCTCAGCTTCAACTTAGCAGAATATAGTTGTTCAGCCAAACGTCAAATAAAATAGTTATTAATTGTTTAAGAGATTGATGATCAAGCAGCTGTTTTATGAGCAACACTGTATCTTGCAGTGTGACATAGTAGCCATGATTTTCGTGCTCTATTCCAAGCGGCAGAAACACCAATGTTGCCTGCTGAACAGTTGATTGAGCATAATCGTAAGACATTAGTGGCTTGAATTATTGATAACTTTTGATGCTTACATTATATTGAAAAGTGGTTAAGGACAAAGTTGTAGCTGAAAAAAATTTCTACGAGCTCAGTTATCATTTTTTAAAGCAGAGCGATATGGTAAATTGTTAGATGGATATGAACAAAACATTTGGTTTTCCTATAGTATTTCCATATAAACTTCAAATGGTTTGTGCCAAGTCAGTTTCTCATCGAATGAGTTCAAATTTTGGGAGACTAATCAGGACCCGATTTGGAACTGTTTGAGCACTGTGAAGCGAAAATTTCAAAATTTGCATCAGTCTAGTAATCATATCAAGCTGAACATTGCATTAGGTCCTAAGTAACATTGACAGATTCTCTTCGTCGACTTCCTCTTTGTATCCCAACGACCATCTCAAGCCATTCCCAGGTATTTTCAGCACACATATCGATAAAAGAAGCTTTCATCTAGCATCTAATACGACAAACACAACAAGAAACGATTATGTGCTCATGTTATTAACGAAAGGGAAAGTCGACGAAGAGAATCTATCAAGGTTACTTAGGACCTAATGCAATGTTCAGCTTGATATATGATCTTTCGACCAGTACACTCATCTGCACCCTCACCTTTGAAAGTAAATAAAATGAGTGCCTACCTTTTTCATGACCGAATAGTCCAATCGAAATGAGACTATCCGTGAAGTAATGGTCTCCGGGCATGTTGGAAATCATCCCCAATGCGAAGTTGATTGCTGCCAGCTCAGCAACATAAAGGGTGTCCCATATTAAATTGAATCAAGGAAAAAAACGCTGTAGAAAATTACCTAGTTTACCGATCCTTTTTAAACTTTCAGACAATAAAATGTAACCTATTAGTACGATTTTGGCATATTTATTTCATTCAACTTCAATACCATAATCGTACGCTCGCAGCTTACGCTTACCTCCACTCATTTGGTTCTGTACAACATCTGGCTGCAGCTTCTTCTGTACGGAAACCGAGGGGGGCGACACATCTAAATCTCAATGTATTTCTTGGCAAAATTTGAAAGTTTCTGCTTCCTTACTTCCTCCGGAACATCAAACTTGTGCTGGGCGTTGAGAACAGTAGCCTAGGAAGCTGCTGGAAGTCTGCCTTGACGTAAGTCTCATCATCCATTATGATACAATGAGGCTTTGTCAGCCCGTGACTTTCCCATCGTATTTCGTCACGATTTGGAACGTTCTGCACTCTGTACTTGTACTGCAACTTGTTGGCCACACCCCTGACCGAAACATTAGGATTCCGCTTAATTTTTCAAGAGAAAATACCCAATGGGTAATTTTTTACAGCGTTTTCTCCGTGATGCAATTTGATGTGGAACACCCTTTAAACGGAACAAGGTTCTTATAGGTTGCGGAAGGTGCTAGTCTTGGAAATGATTTATGATTTTCAGAAAACAATTAATCCTGACATGTTATAAGTTCAAGTTACAGTTTTGCCCAGAAAGCAGTCCATTTATATTATCAGAAAGTTATCAGTTTCAAATTCTAATTAAAAACTCATTACCTAGAAATCTTGTAAAAAAGCGGTTTGAGCAAAGTTGGAGCTGATAAATGTCACATATGAGCAAATGGCAAGCTTTTCCGTGAATTATTTTGACGAAGAGCTAAAATGTTGAGAACATAAAGTTCACTTTTCCCACATAAACTTCAAAGGGCCAGTGTAGTATGAGTTCACATTAAAATAAACTAAAATTGTGGGAGAATGATCAGGACCTGATTTCGACATTTTCAACCACTCAAGTGTATACTAATACACGGTTTTTAAATTTTATATATATAATTTATCCAAAGTTGTGCACTTGGGCATTCAGAGATGTCTATGCAATATTATGCGAGAAAGGCTCTTGACGCCCATAGGTGTATAAACAGTATTTTTCTATTGCCAAAACAAACCACCAATGAAAAAGTATCAGAACCACCCAAAATGTGCTGCGATCTAAAGGAAAAGAAATCAAACGAATGGTCGACAGACAAAACGTTGAATGTATAAAGGTCTATTGAACAAAAGGTCTATTGAAAAAAACGTCGAATGAACAAAAAGTTGAATGGTCAAAAGGTCGAATGAACAAAAAGCCAAAAGAAACAAACTATTGAATTGACAAAACATCGAAT